CCCAGTTCAAACAATTCTATACTTCCTTGCATCTTGCTAATCTTCAAAGTCAGCTTTTTACAAAACAAATCCAACATTTTCACTGTACAACTTTGTAGCTTCAGCCTGTCTTTTTACAATTTAAGACACAAGAGCTAACATTTTAGGACTAAGAACAAGCTTAATTTAGTACCCTTCAGTGGAATTCCTTGGTAAACTTTTACCCCACCCCATCTCATTTTAAAACAAGTACCTCCATACCTATCTTCTTTGATGATTAGATCCAATTTTAAATTATTCTTAGTAGAAATTTAGAGGCAACTTTGTATCCTTCCCACTTTTCATGTTAAGCTGAAGAAAGGAAATGAAAATTCATAAAGTTTCGTTTCCAGTTACCCTGTTAAAAATATAATATAAAAAAAAGTGTACTTTGAGAATATACTGTACTATTGAAATAAAGTCTAAATGTTAAAGAACACAACATGATAAATACGCATGGCTTTAAGACAAAAGTAATGTTGGGTATTATCATTCCTAAATTAAAGTATCTCATGGCCAATTTTGGACTAATCTGCAGCCCATCTGCTGCTCAAATTCCACTCTTTACCATCCAATCCATCCATCCATCCATCCCTGGAGATGTAGGGAACAACGTAATTTACATGTTCACTTTCTCCCCAGTCTCAGAAACTGGACCTGTTTTTCTAATTTATTTATGTTGAATACCTATTTGTAAATGATGTTCCCCAATAACTGTTAGCTGGTACAGCAAAGTTTACTGAAAAGGAAAAAACTACAGGAAACTACAGAACTCTCTTGGAGCTAGGATAAAGGGTTAAGCTAATTGTCTACATCCCACTCGATTACCAAGGATAAATTTTTAGTTGCTTTATCAGATAGCTCCCTCTGGTGGATAAGTGATTTCCCTTGGATTTGCTCCTGCCAAGGAGAAACTATCCAGGTCTGTTCAGATTTACAGTTCCCCTAGACTGCTTAACCCAGTGTAACCAGGGCTTCCTCCGTAGCAAACTATCTACTGTAAATAATTTTAAAAAATACTTTTATAGCATATAACGGGGACCAGTAATTTTTAAAAAGCCCACTTCTATTAACTCCTTGGAGAAGTCATCTCCATTTTGCCTAAAGACTTCTACTATATATGGTGACTAGTTTTTCTAACCAATTACTTGGTATTTAAGAGGTCAAGAAGAAAAACAGTAAGAGTCCAGCTTCATGCTTGCTTTTTCCCTTTCCCCAATAATCTAACTCATTACAATGCCTAAATTATCTCCCATGACAAGATTCATTTATCTTGTTTATTTGCTTCAACTGACTTTCATGGTAAGAAATAAGTTCCTCCAATCCCTACTAGTTGTCAGATCCCTTTTAAAGGCAGGCAAGCAGCAATCCCAAGACTGCTTTAAGTATAATGAAACTTAAATACGCATTTATAGCAAACACCCATTTGATGCTCCTTATTGTATGATCAGATTGGCCAGTGAATAGTTCAATGGAGTAAAACAGTTGAGCCTATTACGCTAACAAAATTAAAACATGTGGATCATACCTTTATGTGACTACTTCAGCATGAAGAACAATTTAAATCCCAATAAAGGATCCTGAGTAGGTTTATTTTCCCTCACACTAAAGTATGTACAGTTTTAATCTAAACTATCAAAAATCGCTGCTGTGTAGTCAGAACGGTCTGTTGACCTTCCAACAATTAAGACTTGGGAGACTAGATTCTCGGCCTTCGGGGTTAGTAGCATTAACTTCCTATGACTGTCACCAGAGCTACCATAAAACAAACAGGGCACATTTGAAATTATCTGCACATAGCACTGTATTATGTACAGCCTCAGCAAGTCTACAACAAATAGACTAGTTAAGGGCAAAATGAGATACCAATATTGTCTGCATTTGCAGCAAAATTTCTAACCATCTTTGCTTTTGTAAAAATGTTTCACACCATCTAATAGAAAGGATTAATCACATTTGTGTAATCTTAAAAAAAGGTCTATCTATGGTATATACATGCAACCAACTTGCTTCATTACAAAGTTCATCCATAGAGCATAAAGGCACACATAAATCTTGATTATAAAATTTAAACATTAACATCAAACTCTAATAACCATGTTTACAATTCACAAAATTGACTAGAGAATTAATCCAATTTAACTCAAGCACTCAAAACTTAAATTTTTTGGAGTGGAGGGCAATTTAAATGAGGACTCTTCATTTTGAGTATTTTTTTAGATTAAACCTAGTTTCATTAAATTCAGATCCCAATTAGGAGTTAGAAAAAGGGTCTTACCTTTTTATTTCCAGGATGTGGGCTGAACAGCAAGATGGGTTATTCAATCTGATGTTATGAATAATTGCTTCTTAAAGACTTTACATTTCTCCTTGATCAGAAAATAACTAATTATAGGTCCCTTAAAATATTCTAAAGAAATAAATGAAAAGCTGGGAAATATCTTTTGTAGGGACTTCTGATAGTTTCAGGACTTTGTTAATAGCTTCCATGGGTAGAGGTCTATTAGTCCCACAAGACTAAAATAGTCTATTTGCTGCAAAATCTGTACCTTTCAGATACATTCTCTTTAAACCTGTATCTTAGATCTTGAGTTTGAGCTACAGTAACATTTAGCAGACAGTATACTCAATGTACATCTTAAATATATTCAATCTTGAGTGGATGTCAATCTGTTTCTGAAACATTTTAATGGCTTCCTCATTATCACTCTACCTTATAAATTATCATGCAAAACCCCAATGATGTAATTTTCAACAGTTATCTCCTACTTGACCATTATCTTAAATGACTGAAAGAAAACCCCTACATCTATACACCATGGGTATTAACTGACTTCAAAATAGTGTCTTCTCTTCCTCCTTACATTTCCACAAGGCTCAAATAGTTGAGTGACTTGGGCAAATTTTCTTAGCCCACTTTCATTTTATCAAATGAATCTGATTTCACCTAAGTCTTAAAAATCACCTAAACAGATTGCACATCCAAATGTAATTAAACGCTAAAGAGAAATGTTAAAATCTTTTTGAAGAAAAGTGGTATGGTTGTTCTACCTAGTTATCAGAAGAGATTTGATAAGTTTAAGCACCAAGGCTCAATCTTTTGATTATAAAATAATGAATTTTGGCTACAGGTCAACCTTATCCTTAAATAGTTTACAAGCCAACTTAAGGTCAGTTTTGGAATTAACAATGATTTACCCAAATTAGCCTTTTTTGTTCACCCAAATTTCACAAAGCAATGTGCTATTAATCTTTCTAGTAAATCTGAATTAACATTTAATACTCACCTATTTGAGATACTTTCTAAACTAACATTTACCAGTCACCTCCCAATTTCACTTTACCATCCTGTTATTTAATCATAAAAAATAAGCTGGCATTATTTCTAAGTATCATCTATAAAACTATTTCTGAACCAAAGTACTTCACCCATTCACTGTATTATCTCACTTCCACCTTTTAACTTTGCATAATTAACAATCATTCTTAATACTGTCTTTCAAAAAACCATTAATTCACCAACAGCTGAACCTTATCTTACTGATGAATTTCAAGTATTAATTGCCAAAACTAGTCATCCAGTTTAAAATTATTTTATATGAAGAGGAAAAAGGACAACCATGCATCGTTTTTTTTAAAAATGTTTATTTTTTTCAAAGGAAAACGGCAATAGCCAATTGGAAACCTACTTATTCTTCAACTCCAATTTTGTTTAAATTTAGAAGCAACTTACTGATTTACTATTTTAAACAAAACCCCCCCTTTTCCCCTTTAAATGTTTACCATCTACTCGTGCTGAATCCTTCCAAGGAGATTGCTCCAACGTTTATCTCCAGGTCCTCGCTTTGCTCCTTTTACCAAAAAATGCAAAACACAATTCCATCGTGCATCTTAAGGGCTCCAATCGTCAAAAATAGGAAAAAATATTCTTTGGAATAGCCAATTGAGTTGAATGAAAAAGGAAAAAAAATCCACACGAATGCGGTTTGGTTGGGGCAGGAATCCACTCCTATGTTCCTGGTAATCTGATCCCGCTCCATGAATCCTTGTAATTCATCCTCCCTATCCTATCCACATTATGATTTGAATCCAATGATCCAGCTCCAAGGATTGGGATCCAGTGAGCCCTCTCCAATCCAAACCTTTATAACCAGCAAAATCAAAAAAGAGGAGGCAAAATGTTAGATACTGTAATCAAAAAAGGTTTCTGGGGAATGATGAGTTATGTCTGTCATCAGTTTTAACAGATGTACATCAATAACTATCAAATTCCCCAAAACAAGTTTCTGAATGGTGTTCAGATAAAATTTTAGAAACTTAATCATTATAGAGACTAATTGGGAGAAGCATTTAATATTTACAGTTCAACTGATAATGCCAACACTTGTTACTGTACAGCGCATTACAGGTTTGTGGTTGCCAAGAGCCAAGTAGTTGAATTTTACTGGAACTGCTCCCCACCTAAAACTGAACTAAATCTCCCCATTGGCAATTTGTAAATTAAAAGTGTTTTAAACATGAGTCAGTTATGACAATTAGTTTAAAGGGGACTTGCAATAAAATATTCCCATCTAGAGTATCTATATCAATTATGTTGAAATTTTATATTCTCATTTTGTCTTAAAAAAAATGAAATATCAACGCTCTATCAGTCACACAGAGGACATGCAGGTTTAGCAGTATTGATATTATACTCTATCTGATTGGAATTAAAGACACCCTGTACCCACATGTACACCAACAATAGGTCACACATTAACAGTTGTAACTAAGCACTGTGACAAATTAGCTAGTTCTTCCCACATTAGTCCCTATTTTTTTTTTTTAAAAAAAGGGGGGGAGGGAGCAAAATAAACTTACAATATGGGCAATATAATTTTGCCACAATTGCCAAGGTATAAAAGAACTAAGCAATTGTAGCTAAAAGTTAACTACTTAAGATATGTGGAAAATGTTTTAAACAAAATATATTTCATTTTTAACCCTTTTCTTTTAGTATAAGGTCAATACTGCCAATTTAGTCTGTGACAATAGCACTTGGAGTCATACCATTGCCTCCATTATTGATCTGATCCTCCTCAATCCTCCTTTTGACAATCCTAAAATGATTGAAATGTGCTCCACAATCCTTAATCCAAAGCATTCTTAATCCATCTCTTCAGATATGTCTACAGAAAGACACATGAAAAGGCAAGATAAACATAAGAACTTCCCCAGGTAAAATAACCACAAATATTCCCAACATCCCAGTTCACACAAACCAGAGCAGAAGACATTGACACAATATCACAGTCTGAAGAGCATGGAGAGTTAACGAAATTTAAACAATCCTGATGACATCACTTAAAATACAATTTATCAAAGACATGAGGGGAATGTAGATGTTAGGAGCAAGGGGTATTACACAAGAATGCAATTCAACACTTTAGCCCATTCTGAACAAAACAGTTTGAATTAAAAAATGAAGATTGTACTGAATAAAGGAAAACTGTATACAACATGGGTTCTACAAAAAAGTGTCACCAATCATCTTATGTACGAGAGCGAGATCTGCTATGGCGGGGAGAATAGCGTGGAGATCCTCTGCTTCTCCTTGGGGAATAACTGCGACTCCTGCTGTTGCTTCTGCTACGGCTTCTGCTACGACTACGGCTTCGAGATCGAGATCTTCCATAACTTGGACTTCTGGGCCCATCAACTTTAACTCGGATGTAGGCAGTTTCTCCCTATTGGATAAACAGAACTTTCGATTGAAAGATCTAAGCTTTTAACTATCTTCAGGCATGCTGAAAGAATACAATGCAATTAATACCAGAAATCTGGTATTTTATTTGGACACCCTTGCCTGAATCCTTACCTTTAAATTCCACTGTTTAAGACCACTGTATCCAATTCAGGCCAAAAAAAAAGAATTAAGTGTATAACCTACCTCATGAGATCTAAACTTAGTGTTATCCAGTTTTCGAACTGCATAGGTCATATCTTCTTTCCGTACAAATTCCACGACACCAGTGCCATCTCGGTAAACATCAGCATAACATACATCACCTGCTTCACGCATGTGATCCTTTAAATCCTGCCAGCTCCCACTTGGAGGCAGTCCTGAAAAAGATGTACTTTCTCAGTACCAAGCATTTACAATTCTAGGTTTATAATGTGCACTACGACACTTAATCACTGTTCAAGATCAGTGCTTCCAACAATTTCTACGCCTTGCTAATAAGAATCAAAACCTCTTTCATAACAAAATTGCAAGGTAAGAACCCTTGAAGGTTCTGGTTACAAACACGAGGGGTGGCAAAGCAGGAGGTCAAATGAAAATGAACTGGTCTGGGTGCCATACAGGATCCTAAATTCATAAAAGTAAAAGAAGAAATTCTTAAATGCTTTGGGGGTGGGGGTGGGATGTTAAGTCTTCATCCGAGATGCACGTTTACGGAAACACACTTAACAGATGCTGGTGTAAAATTTACACCTGGTAAACTGGCAATGCAAGGCCGTTCCACTTACCAGAGACAACCACTCTGTTTTCAGAGCGCCGGGACGGTGGGCCATAGCGGCCTCTGGGGGCTCCGCCGCCGCCACCTCCGCCGCCGCCACGGCCAGTCCCACGGCCGCTTCGAGGGAACTCCACCCGCAGACGGTATCCATCGTAATCATAGCCGTCGCGACCGTACACCGCGTCCTCCGCGTCCCTGCGTGGTCACAGATGTCAAACCGCATGAGCCAAGGGGCCAAGCCGGGGAAAGCCCACCCGCTCGGGACGCTGCTCGCACCCCGCCACCCCGCACATGCGCAGAGGGGAGAAAGCCCACATGCGCTACATAATAGGCACGGCCCCTCCCCCACCCGGGGCACACCAGGCGCCCCTCAACTATACCAGGCCTCGGCGCCTGTTTCCCGCTCCGAGCTTACGAGTGGTGTGCAGGGATGCCGCACGGGCCCAGGCGCCACGGAAGCCACGCCGACTCTCTACCTGATTCCTCCACGGGCGATCGCTCTTCGGCCCTTTCAAAGAGCCTCCACCCCCAACCCCACTACTCCCAACCTACTACCTAAAAGTGCAAGCTCCAGGCCACCTTACCGCGGGTCCTCGAACTCAACGAAGGCAAAGGGCGGTCCCCCGCGACGATTCTTGAGATCTATGTCGCGGATAGCGCCGTATTTGTAGAACACGTCCTCAATGTCCTTGGTTCGGATGTCTGGGGGTAAGTTCCCCACGTAGATGCGGCAATCGTTGTTCCCCGCTGGCCCACGAATCACACCACCTCCCGACATGGCGGCGACGAAAAGCGCGGACTCGAAATTAGGCCTTCCCACCAAGCTTAGCGAAAGACAGAGCTGGCTCGCAGCGACACCACGTCTCCCGCGGCCTCTCCAAAATGGCGCCTTTACCAGCTTGGCGCACGGATATGAGTGGGAGGGAGGAAGAGAAACGAGAGGAAGCTGCTATTCGCTCGCAACACGCACGCGCAATTGCGTAAGGACGCTACGAGAGGCGCGTACGCAAGCGCGACGTGACCCTCCGCACGAAGGGGAAAAAAAGTTCCCCGCATTCACAAGTTGCAATGCAGGGTGCTAACGGGGCGATTGGCTGCTTTAGGAAAAATAAAGAACCTTCGTAAAAGGGACTATTGGTCCTATCAGGCCTCCACGGATAGTATCCCCAGGACTGAATCTCTAATCATTTAGGCAACCAAGGAACACTTGGTAAACCTAGCCTTAAGTACTCTCCCACAATGCCCCGCGACGCTAACGGCCTTTGGCGGGAAAGACTCTTGGGGCGGGTTCAAAGGGGGAGGGATTGGGTTGTTGCTCCGGAAACAAGGGCATCTTTGGAGAGCCGGCTTAATCCTGCATTTGCGTGGCTGGGGATTAATTTACGAGTTTGGGCGTGGCTTTGCCTTCCCGTCCCATTGCCTGCAAAGAGACTGCTTATTACACAATTATTTGATTTAGGGAAATGCAATTCAAGTTCCTTACTAAATCTGCATTAACTACTATCCCACCTTCGAGTTAGAACTGAACTTGCATAGCTCAACCTGTCATGTGTTAACTGGCAGTGAATTGTACCCTGAATAATCGTGGATCGTACCTGCTAACCAGGGAATCGTCTACGCTGGTCCTGCGAGTGTCTACACTGGGCCTGACCGGGAGAGGCTGGACTCAGTAAAAAATACTTGGCAGAATGAATCGTGCCTGTCATTTCTCCTATTACTTTCAAAGAAATTTTAATTAGGATGTTCTTTATTTCTTGGCTTCTTTTTTTGTATTTGAATATAACCAAATAATGGGTCTAAGATCAATAATGGGGTTAGGACATGGTAGAAAATGGCTTCTAGAATATTAGTGCTATCGGGAGAGGTGTGTCAGAGGCAGTGCGATTGGCACAGTATAGAGCAGGGTTTAGGGCTGTTGTACATAGGGTCGCTATGAGTCGCAAGCGACTTGATGGCACATAAGAACAACAACATTACAATTAAGATTATCTTGAAGAGGTAATCTGGCTGTATGTCTTCCAAGACCGACTTGTACATTTTCCTTGCAGTTGGTGATGTTATTATTACACAACAACAGATCTAAATAAACCTTGTCCTATCCTGTGCTATCCTCACACTTTCTGACATACGAGAGCCCATTGTGGCAGTCACTGTGTCAATCCAGCTTCTTGAATGTCTTCCTCTCTCTGACTTTCCACCTTTCCAAACATGATGTCTTTTTCTGAAGACTGGCCCATTCAGACAACATACCCAAAGTATATGTTACCAATTTTCACCATCCTGGCCTCTAAGGTGCACCCTGGTTGCACTTCCTCCAAAACAGACTTGTTGATTCTTTTGGCAGTGCGTGGAATGAATGTTCATTGTTCTTCTCCAGTACCATAACTCAAAAGTATTGATTCTTCTTTTGTTATCCTTGACTGTCCAGCTTTCAGATGCATAGTAAATAATTGCACCATGGCTTGCCTCAGGCACACCTTAGTCTTTAAACTGATATTGTTGCTCTTTAGGACTTTGGAGAGGCCTTTGCAAGTTGATTTTCCCAGGGCTGTTGTGCATAGGGTCGCTATGAGTCGGAAATGACTCGACGGCACATAACAACAACAACAACAACAATGACACATCTTTTGATTTCTTTACTTGTGGTACCAAAGTTGTTGATTGTGGATCCAAGAAAAACAAAATACTTGATATTTTCAATCTTTTCTCCATCTGTCATAGTGATTTTCCATCTACCATGGGATTTTTGTTTTCTTGATGTTTCTGAAATGTAATCTAAATTGAATATGGTACTTTTTGATCTTCTGCTGTAAGGGTTTCAAGCCTTCTTCACTTTCAGCAAGTAAGGTTATGTCATCTGCTAACACAGTTGTTAATGATTCTTCCTCCAATCTTTTATTTTTTTATCCCTCCAATAGAACGCAGCTTCTCAGATGATCTGCTCAATAGATAATGGAGAAAGGATTCAACCTTAATGTACACCTTCCCTAATTTTACACTGCACAGTGTTCCCTTGCTCTGTTTAGACAAGAGCTTCTTGGTGTAGATACAGGTTTCACATAAGTACAATTAAATGTTCTGGGATTCCCATTTTCTTACTGTAGACTGATCCTCACACAACCTTTATCTAAATAGTGTAGTAGACAATTGATTAGGTTTCTGCTTCCTTTTTTAAAAACATTTTTGCTTCTTGAGATTGCATCCTCATCTCTCCCCCACCCCCTTTCTTGTCGTGTACTGTCGAATTGGATCTGACTGGCACAGGAGGAGATTGCCCCTCCTTCTCCAGCAGAGCATCTGGTGGATTCAAACCATGAACCTTTGGAATTACAGTGCAGCTTCCTTGCCAGAACTCCCTTAACATCTTTATCTTAATTAGATTTTTCTATGTTTCTAAACTGTTGAATTAATTATTTCCCACAGGAAGTTACGGATTACTCTCTGACAGTCTAATTTATATATACATTTCACTAATATTATCCTTGGAAACAACCTTCTATTCAAAACTGTTGCTACTTATAAAGAGTTTCTTCCAGAAAAGGAAATTTTAAAATACTTTGAACTAAGTAAAGTATGTGTTAGTCTCAGCCTCAGAATTAATTTTGAAAATTATTACTCGATTAGAAGGAAGAAGTATGAATTTAAAGAATTAACTACTGTAGATTTGTAATCAAATGACTCAAGACTCAACTTTTCAGTGATTTGCTTGATACTTAAAACTCTATAAGGAATTTCCTCCCAAGGGTATTTGACTGTTTCTGTTGTGAAAGGTCTGCCATTAGTATTGGATAAGATGAAAAAAAAATTGGATAAGATTCATGACCTCTGGCCAAGGGATTAAACAGTAAAGGCTATCACCACCTTGGGATCTTCAGGGCTGGGGTGTTTTTGGTCCCTGCTATCCACAACCCTCCACTGTTATGGGAATACTTTGCCAGTGCACTAATTTCTTAGGAGATAAGATTTGTTAGCATGTTACTATATGTTAACTTTCTTTCTGCAGAAAACACAGGACCATGTCTGATTCAACTCTTAATATTTAAACTATTTCATTCCTTAACTCTCCCTCAAATACTTTTTCCACAGCCTATCCGGACACTATGTTTGTCAGAATTCTGCAAAATGTGTGTCACTCACTGCTAAGATTGTTCAGCCCCTGATGTGTTAATATGGACTTGTTTCTGGTGATAGCTTGTCCTAAAATGTGTGTAGAAAATAGGGATTTTGTGATAAAATTGTGTAGTGCATGCTCTCTGTGGAAATCAGAGGAAAACACAGATTCAGGATTAATATTGCCAAAAAGGAAAAAAAATACAAATAATTAGCCATTGTTCAAATGCCAGTGGTGCTGTTTGTTTTTTTTTTTAAGACTTTTAGATTTTTGCTGCCTAAAATTCCTATATTTTTGGAACTTATTTTCCACCTGGTCTTTCTTAGTAGGGTTTTTTCTACTTTAAACAGTTTCTAACTCAAATTTTGTTTGTTTGTTTGTTTGTTTAAAAAAGACTCAACAGTGATCCTGCTCACTTGAGGTGGTCATTCAAGCACTTTGTGGGAGAAGTTCATTCCAATTATACTTTCACAGGGTCTTTATAATTTTATCTGTTTGCTGCTTATTGGCTTATTTATGCTGCTTCTGATGTTTCCTGTGACTTCAGTCTCCGGTCATAAGCTTTTTGGTCCCCCCCACCCGCTGGAAGGAGTAATCCTTCCTTCTGGCAGTATTTTAGTTGCCTTCAGCAGTATGTTGGTTGCGTATTCTTCATAGTGATGAAAATCACAAATATCACTGTGAAAAAGAAGCATCAATGCTTGTACTTAATTACCTAGAGACTTCCAATTATTTGAACTGAGAAATTCAGAATGGAGCCAACAGGAACCAGCACTTGACTATGACTGTGATAGTAATGAAATCTTTGGGCCTATTTAAGCCCCTTTGACTATTGTTCTAAATAGAAATGAATTCTATGTGGGTTTTTTTTTTCTTTGGTTGTTTTGTTTTGTTTTATTTTAACCTCTATACAGAACTCATGAAGAGTTGGGATGCTAACATAAAGGTGGCACCTCTCTGCAATTTCCAAATCACGGGAGGCTCTGAACGAGAAAGATGAGCAGTCTCTCTTTTGTGATTTAGAGCCTCCGAACCTCACTCCTTCCCAGGGTCATCTATGAATTGGTTCCAGTTCCAGGGCAATGAGTTTTGAGAGTTTTTTAAACTCTAAACCTAAAGTGATGGTTACATAACTTGGGAAGTATATTAAAAATTATTGAATGTAAAATGAGAAGTGATATGGTATATAAACTACATCAGTAAAGCAATTTTTTAAAATGACCGATTAAAAAAACAACAGCTAAATGAAAAACCCCATCAACTCCTTAATTCCACAATCAACAAAATCTGTCTGTACCATCCTATCTGGTAATGGGTAGCTGAGAATCATTTGCACTGAAACATGTCTGCCTTGATCTGGAAATTCCGTCTTCAGCCTCTGTTGTACTAGTAGTTACTCACTTCCCTGGGGATAACGTTGTTATTGTTTTGCTAGATTCAAAGGCACAAAGATTAGGATTATTTGATTCCACTGCATACAGGAATTACCAGTAACAGTTGCATGATTCTCTATTTTCTTACTTTACTATTTTAATGAAAAGTAGTCTCTGAAAAGAAAGGAAACAGGACGTACCTTTTTATTTTGTTTGTATTTGTTTTACCTTTTTATTTCATTTATATTTGCTCCACTTTCTCAAATAGACAATGTTGATGACAAATTTCTCCTTTCATTGCCTTCATTACCAGGAAGTTTTTCCCTAAAATGAATATTATTGACTGTTTACTGACTGTGCTCTTTGAAAAAGATGGGAGGTTGGATGAGCAGGATGTTGTTTCTATGGAA